CCCTCCCCCCCTGCCTCCTCCCTCCCTTCCTTCTTGTTTTTAGAGACAGGATCTTACTATGTAGCCCAGGCTGGCCTCAAACTTCTTGTGATCCTCTTGCTTCAGCATTAGTGCTTGAGGTGTATGTATGCACACCACGCTCCACTTTTCTGCTATTTCTTCATCTATCCTTTTGTCCAACATTGTCCTTCCCCAGTTTAGAATCTTCCTTTACAAATCAGCAATGTATATCCTATTAAAAATGCAACTGACATGTACACAAATACTGTTGAAATCCTTTCAGATTTGTACATCCTACCCTAGATGTTCCATTCTGTTCATGACCCTTGTCCTCAACACTCCATCTTTCGGATCTGTCACTCGGTACCCTCTGTCCATCACTGGGTATCCTCTGTCTACCACTGGGTACTCTCTATCCTTTACTGGGTACCTCTGTCTACCATTGAGTACCCTCTATCTGGTGTTTCCATGGTGTGGCCCCACAGTTTACCAGCCACTCTAGAGGATAGACTCCCATACAACCTTTCTTCTCAACTCTGCTTAACTCCTTCTACATATAAGTCCCTTTAGGGATAGCCTCATGTGGGCCTCCCTGGGGCTGTGTGGGAGACTTCTACTGGAGAACATTCCAGAAGCATTTCTAGTTCCTTTTCCATAAGCCAGAGGCAAGAACATGTGACCTTAAGATGTTTTAGTCCTAAAGAGGATGGTCTCATCAGTAAGCAGACAGAAAGACATTACTGAAGACTAAATATAATAATAGAGATATGTAGGTTGATATTGGAGGGCGGGGAGGGCGCTGTCTCAAAAAAAAAAAACCCAATAAAATAAATAAGTAAATAAATAATTTCATATTTCCAAAAGCTTACAAGAATAGTGAGGAAAGTTCTCATATGTCCCCCCAAATTTCTTACGTGCTAGTATTTTATAATATTGTGTGTTGTTTAGTTTTTGTCAGCTTCACACAAACTAGAGACACCTGGGAAGAAGGAGCTGTAGTTAACTGTCACATAGTGAAGTAAATAGGAAATATCTGCTTAAGGATCAAAAAATTGAATTTGCAATGATCCCTGAGCCTTGAGGATGACCACAAGGAAACAGTCTTCCAGACAGCTGGTCAGTTACTCATATGAACTCACAGCACTGGTGACAGCATGTACAAGTCCTATGCAAGCTCTAACAAGACAGAATCCCCAGCATAGACATGGGGAAGTGGGTTAGAAATCTCAAACCTACCTAAGGATCTTTTGGCAATTGATGGCTGCTGTGAGGGATGGGACTCCTGGTGGGCCCAGTGGTTGGACCCACATTGAAGGACACTGGGAGACACAAATCAGATTCTATAGGCCATATTATAATTTTTGAGAGTATTTTAAATAAGGCGTGGGGCAGTGGGGGGAGGTATGGATAGGGGAAGGAATCTAAATACCATCTCAAACTATATTGTATAAAAATTGCAAAAATTCAATAAAAATATTTGTTTAAAAGGCTTAATTTGGGGGCTAGAGAGATGGCTCAGCGGTTAAGAACACTGACTGTTCTTACAGAAGACCTGGGTTCGAATCCCAGCACCCACATGGCAGCTAACAACTGGCCGTAACTCCAGTTCCAGGGGATCCGACAGTCTTTTCTGTCTTCCACGGGCATTGCACGACACGGGCGCACTTACCTACATGCAGGCAATACACGCATACACATAAAATAAAAAT